CATCATCTCAGCTTTCTTGGTTCCCGAGCTAGCGATTTTCGTGCCAGGAACCCTCGCGGGGCCGTATGCGGGAAACACGCACACCAGCGGGCTGAATTTGAAATCCTTGAGTTCTACTTGGACTGGAAACATAATCCCAAAATTACAGCTTTCTAACTTTTCTGGTTCTCGAGTTAGCGATTTTCCCATCACAACTTTGAGGCGCTCGTACGTGGGGCCTGGGCGTGCTTGAGGGTTGGTATCGCGGCTATGGGGTGGCACTTGGCCGGGGAACCCACTCCCAAAATTTTGGCGCCAGAGCTTGCTTGGGTGTCGAGTTGAAATACCCGGACAGACGCGCGCGCACACACACACACACACACACACACACACACACATACACTCACACACCGCGGTCATCACAATATGTGTTTTTGCATATTATGCAAAAACGCATAATCATAAAGGCGTGGCTACAACCATAAAATACATTGAGCTTGCTTTTCACACTTTCTCCCGAAATCGAATCCGAAACGTTATGCTAACAATGGCTGGTGGTTGGTGCTTGCAAAAGTCTTTCTGTACTTATAACTAAGGGCTGCTTTTCATTTCCCACTAGCACTGTTCGCTGGCGCTTAGAATCTCAACCACACTGGTCCTTTCTGTTGTAAGTTTTGCTAATCGTCCTCTTTGTGGGGGCGAAACAACGATAGCATGTTTTGGCTTCCTTTGAAAAATACTGACCTGGTTTTTCCAATCGAGGGCAAAAGCCGACTGATTGTAGACCACAGAAAGTGGCAGCTGCTTGTTATAGGGTGCCCATATAGTGTCTTAATCTTGGTAAAATCCTTTTTTGATCACAATGGATCATGGTGACAATTCTGTTTGGTTTATTATGCCTCCAGATTATTCTCGGCAAGTTTTCAGCAAATTAGCCTCCAGGTAAGCGAGAAAATTAAAATTTTGAAGGATGTTTCTTGCCCATGTGTCACCTTGGAAGTTCAGACTCAGCTTTCACGCATGTCTACAATTTCATGCTTGGCATGAAAAAGGTTAGACAGAAAATTTTTTAACTCACGAGTCGGAAAAGACAAAAAGATGAAAGTTAAGGACGATTTTTCGTATCTACGTTTTGCGCTGAAAAACTAATTTTAGCTCTCACACATACCGCCGGCTCACGTTCTAACACATTGAATTGTAAGTGGTAAGCTTAACAACTTCCCTAGCTTCACTAGACAAAGCTGAATAAACCGTATATCTATGCAAAGGCTAGCGCGACTACTCATTAAAAATATCTATGTAAAAATCTGGCTTGTTTATTTTTCAGGGCATATCTTTTAAAAGCAACCTAAAACTGATGCCATAATGTTGACCGTGGCTACTTCTACGCTTCTTATTTACTGTGCCGTGTTAGCAACAATAACACCAATAATGGCAATAAAGGCTACTCCAGGAGCGTTATCGAACAATGGCAGTTCACTGAAGTTTATTCGAATTCATTTTGGTCTACCAGTTTATGGCACCAACAGCAAGTCGAACGTCCCGTACTACAACAACTTAATCAATGAATTGATTAGCAGCGATACAACGGATACTAGCACTACTAGCACAAGCAGACTTCCCTCCAACAGTGATCACAACCAAGAGGGCACTGAGAACAGTGAGATAAAATTTATCCGTATTCATTTCGGGAGAAAACTTGACGAAAGCAATAATAAAAGCAGTGCGCCTGACAGTCGATACGGCGGTTACAAAGAGACGCCTGTCCTCACGTATCGTGGACTGCCGTTTTACAACATTAGCAACAGACCCAGCGAAAGAGAACTGACCGGTTAAAATTATCACTATTTCGGTGTTTCGAGTAGGGATGCACTTTTGCCAAAAAATTCTTGCTATGATAGGACATCAAATAGAACAAAGCGGGAAGTTAATTCACAACATGAAGGGCAGAAAAAGGACATGCAGACGAGAATCATGAATGAAAAATTTCGCTTAGCTCCTCATTTTTTATTTCGAAAAGGAGCTCTGAATATGTCCGAAGAGAAAAAGCTGTGTAATTATGAAGCTAAATTCAAGAAATTGGTTCTACCAGAAACTGGAAAAACCTTCACACCGTAACCTCATTTTTCCGCCTCGCCGCCGTAAGAATATTTTTGTCATGCTTTATCACTTTAGGGTTACTGCACTATTTTTATTTACTTGTGCTTTGTTCAGGGCTAATGTTGTCGCTTATATGACGGCTATAAAATAAAGTGTAATCTGAGAGTTAAAGCTTGCTCAGAAGTGTGCCTCATGCACCCATAAAATCTTTATCTTCCTAAAACTAATTCTTAATGAAAAAGAAGGTGCCTCATTTTTTCGAATAAATGGGATCATAACTCCTGCACGATTTTGATGGCGTCTGTATCCTCAGGAATTTTACTTAATCTAGGGTCTACCGTGCATAATGACAATGTACTGCCGAATAGATATCATACATATCCCAATGCAGCCATGAGTTCTTACATGTTTGAACAAAGATTAAAGTGTTGGAGTATAAATTTCCTTCAAAGCCCTATAAACTCGCTTAGTCATCGAGCCATTCAAGAACTTCACTCCTACAGTCCCTCTTTTTCCAGCTGCTTCGCAGGCTTAAAATGTAACATAAAAAATTTAACTATGCAGCAAGACTACGTATGTGCATTGAGCAAAATCTTTAATTAACTTTGTAAATGTAAGTATTCAATATTAACTTTGTAAATATGTGCATTGTTTGCAAATCCTAAAACGCATACATTTTTGGATGCACTTTTGCAAACCGAGTTAATGGACCGAAACATTTTTACAAATAATTTTGTGCTCCCCTTCCTCTTTTTTTCACTTCGTTCTCTTCTTTTTCCTTCTCATTTTTCACCTTAACTTTGGGAAATATGGAACTCGTGGGTGTGCTTGTGTACAACCATTCGATCAAAAACAAGAACATGCAAAAAGAGGGTGTAGGAACATGCAGCCTGCGAAATGCATGAAATAATTTCAAATGGAGAGAGAATATGCAAATCACTGGCGACGCGCACTGGGGGGCCCCGTGCGATCATGCGTTTTTGCAGTGTTTCGTGCTGTAATAAGATCACTCGAAATTCTGCTAGCCATAAACCTGTTGTACATACTGGTTCTCGAATTTCGGGAAGTTAATTATCCACGCTGTATTTGGACAGGGAACATTCCCTTGAAATCCCAGGTTCCCAGCTTTCTCAGTTCCCGAGTTACCCAAAT